TTTTTTTTCCTCTCATCTATTTCATTTCTAGCTACCTCGCCGGTAGCTAGCCGCTACGTGTGATGATGGAGCTTCTCATCGCCACGTGCACCCCCTCCCCTTCGCTATGCGTAATGGTGAGGGGGCGCACATAGCGGCAACGAATCTCCCTGTCATTGCGTGGACCACCTAGATCGGTCACTTGAGGCCACACGTAGTGGCACCATCGACGCTGCATGCAGCAACATGTCTTGTCGTTGCGCACGGCATTCTGTGTCACTGCACACAGTGGCGAACACCCCACGTGAGCTTTCGGTGAAAATGGAGATCCAAATACAAGGCACACATTGCTAGCAAAGAAGGTGGAGGCGGGTAGTGAAGGCAGAGGCCAGTAGGGAGGCTTTCGCAATGGATAAAGCAATTTGGAAATGAGGACAAAAGACTGAGGATAGAAATATCAATTTAGCTTTAACATAACTTCTATTTTTTTACTAAAATGTCACTAACTGCAGAATCACCCCATTCTCAGCTTCAAAGTTTTGCTTCTACTTCTACATTTAACAGCTTAAAAAATAAGAGGTAAAAGCTAAAATCTATAATCCGAATAGCCTAAAAGTGATTGTCTATGTGGGAAAGTTGCAAGTGATTCTTCCAAGTCATTGCGAACACCCCCTTAATTTCTATGCTTCTGCTTTTACTTCTACTTCTACTTTGGCTCACCATAACAAAAATAAATCATGGATTGCCTCTTTTTTTGCTCTTTGTGACTGTTGTAGTGGCACTGAGTTGATCAACCAAGACAACAATGACAACATAGAACTTTAATGGTGGCAAGGATGTCTTTCTGGACCTCTGCATCTACACTTCTTTCTTGTCCCTCTTCTTCTTCTTCTTCACGAATTTACCCTTTAGCCTTCGACGTCTACGCTTCTCTATGGCCTTCTTCTTCTTCTTCTTCTTCACCATCACAGATTTACACTATGTGAGTCAACAGCAATTGAGAAATTGCATCTAGGTCCTCAAGATTTCTTATCTTTCAATCACATTCTTGCCATTTTCAAAATTCCACTCGAGTCTTCAAACTTTAAATTTTTTTGATCTGAACCCTTACAAGAAATTCTATAATTTTAATTCCACTCATTTGTATTATTACAATATTAATTTCCATATTTTTTCATTCTTTTTGTTGAGTGAAACCTAACAAAGGAAGATAAGCATCCTTCTTTTTCATTGGAATAGCGTTTTAAAACTCAAACCAAACTGGCTGATTTGATTGGTGCAACCATGACTAGTCTAATTAATGGTCCGAATAATATTCTAAAATTGAAAATGAGATTAAATTGGTAAAAAATTGGTCAGTTTTTTACCAGTTCTTTAAAATCAGTTCAAAGACCCTTGTGCACCTCTCTCTCTCTCTCTCTCTCTTTTTCTCCCTTGCCCTTATTTTTTTGTTCAAAAATTTTTATACCTTTTAAAACCGGTCAAAGAACCCCCCCCTCACGCCTCTCTCTCTCTCTCTCTCCGTCTCTCTCTCTCTCTCCCTATTTTTTTGGTTCAAAAACTTTCAACCCCCCCCAAACAACCTCCCTCTTTCTCTCTCCCCTCCTTTCCCTCCCCTTCCCCCCTCCGACTAGTTCAAAATCATATACAAGGTGTATAAAATATTTTTGATAATTTTTACGATATGTTTCATTTAATATAAATTTGAAAAAAAAGTAAAAATTTAGAAATATAAAAATAGTAAAAATTAGATTCTCAAAAAAGATTATTTCTTAAAAAATTTAATTAAAATCATATGTGTTTTTCAATTTTAAAATGAACGGATAATAATAAAAAATATATATTAATATTGTCATGCCATCTATAACTTTGAGTATTGTATAAAATTTAAACAAAAATATACTGCTCGACTATATTCAGTTTATTGAATTGTTAATTTATATTTTAAATATTTTTCATGTCAACTAGTTCAACCGGCAGTTCAATTGATTAAACCTTGACCTGGTGACCTTACTAATTTGATCACCGGTCCAAGTTTTAAAACATTGTATTGGATGACACCAAATAAAGGACATTTGGTAACCAAGATAAGTTAAGGCTTGAGAAAGCTGCCCTAACATAAATTATCTTATCCACGCATAATTTTTTTTTTATATTCTTTGTCCGATAGGGTTAAATTTTAGATATGATAAAAATGTTATATAAAAATTCTATTTAGCTAGTTGTACAGCAAAACACATGTCATAGCCGACCAGTGAAATAACAAGCTATTGGTGATTCAGATAAATACATCAAAAGAGAGAGGTGTGAGGCTAAAAGCACGAGAGAGATTGGTGGCGTGACATAAAATCTCGGACAATCAATCTACCAATCTGTTGTCGCTTTGTAGATTGCAAAGGTAGATCATGGATAGTGGATCTGTCGTCCCTCTAGATCTATAGTTCGTATGAGGAAGGAGGAAATTGGGATGAAATCACAAACGGCCAATTTGCTATTGTCCTTTGATATAGAGGATGATTTGCCATTGTCCTCTAATTTGGAATATGTCTAACCAGATATGAAAGATGATTGGCCACTGTCGTTCGATCTAGAAGACGACCGGCTAGATTTGGAGCCCCTATGACAACTTAGAAGACAATTGGTTACTATCCCATGTTGAACCCTTGTGAAAAGCAACTAATGGCTAGATCTGATAGTAGACGATAACAGTAAGGGCAAAAATCAATGGCAGCCAATGGCCAACAACCAATGAGGAAGAAGATAAAGCAGATAAGGGTATATATAGTAATTTGGTTAGAAAATAGTAAGGGTAAAATGGTCTAAAATTAATATTTAAAATAGTATTTAAAAAAATAAAATTATCTTATACTCTCCAAGATAAACTATCCATATCTGTCTAGATGTAGATATAGATTTGGTAGGAAACATTGATTGTCTGCAATATTTATTCCATGAATTAACATGCATATCAACACATGATAAATGTAAATAAAGATATATGAACGTCCTTATACCAAACGCACCTCAATGGAAGAGAAGGATCTTATCTTCTCACCCTTCTTTCTTTCCTTTACTTGTCTTTCCTTTTCTATTGTATGTGTCTTCGTTTCTTTCCTCTTTAAGAAGTCGTTTGATAGGTTGGATAGGATAAGGCAGGATAGGGCAAGTTGTTGAATAAACTATTCTGACCGCATAGTGATCTGAATAATTATCTTATTTAACAGATGTGGTAGAAGTGGCGGCTAGCGGTGGTAATAAGGGTAGTATTATCCAAATAAGTTGAGTAAAGGTCGGATAAAATTATTTTACCTCTCCCTTCAATATAGTTATTCGGATTTAGCTCAATTATTATCCAATCTCTCTCCTACCCGGACTTTATCCCATCACATTTTATCCGACCTACCAAATATGAATCCGAATAAGATAAGAATGAATAAACTATTTTTATCCACTATTATCCGACCACCAAATCACCTCTAAGGGCATGTTCGGTACCCATGATAGGGCAGGATAACTTATCCTACCTTATCACGCGTTCGGATCGCGTGTAACAGCTTGTATAACAGATACATATTAGTGTACACAAATACCTTCTCACGAGCGGCCAGCCTCGATAAAATTTATCAATGTTCAAATTTTTTTCATTTGGACACAAATGCCCTTATACAATGCCTGAATTTCCCTCAAACCAGTCTTCTTTCTATCGATCTTTGCCTACAGTTTCTCCTCCTACCGATCTTTGCTTAGCTTCTGACAACGAGTAGATGACCACGACCTCCCAGTCGTCTGGCCACTAGATAAATTTGGGCATAAGGCGAAACTCTGTCTTCTGGAAAATCCAGCCTGTTCACCCAAAGCCAACGCTGCCAAATCGATCGGTTTGACTCACAGATGATGCAGGCCAGATCTGCAACGGAGGATGACGACGACGACACAGAGCCCAAAATAGTGACGATGCCTGAATGCCTGAATGCCCGAACACCGAATAGCCAATGACGCAGGCTAGATTTGCAACAGAAGTCAGCAAATCGCAACCGTAGATGTTGTGGGCGAAGGCGAAGTAGAGGGATGAAGGGTTGCCGGGGGTTGGTGCGGTCGATGGGGGTGAGGTGGACGAAGACGGCGGGCTCTATCGTGCGACCCAATCCAGCGGGCCGGCTGGATTTGGTTTTTTTTTTTTAATTCATATAAGAAAGGGCTTTTTGATAAATTTAAAATTTTATCCTATTTTTTAAAAATTTTATCCTATTTATTATCTGTTGAATCGAATTTATGATAAAATTTATCATTTTAATAAATTTATTCAATTATATCTTATCAACCTATATTTTATTCTTTTCCCAAACACCTCTTTACAGTACTAAACATACAAAAATCTTTATCATATTGTCAAGAGTTAACGTATTTGTTAGAAACTATAATTTATTATTAAAATCATCTCTGTCAAGCCCATCACGTGGACGTTGCGTGCGAGGTCGGTCTTGTAAAGACAAATAAATAAATTTGGACTCAATATTAAAGTGGAAGGAAAGCAAGGAAATGAGCCATAATTTAACATAAAAAATTTGAAAAATATTAAATTCAAAAAGTATAATTTGATAGTTTAAAAAATTTTAAATTAAAAATAAATAATTATAATTTAAGAGTCTATTTTTTTAAAAAAAAATGTCGTTTTACATTTTAAAAAATACGGATAAAATGAAATAAAGCATTAGAATTGAGTAGATAAGAAACATGGAAGGGTGTTTTCTGAGACGAAACTATCCTAATCCCAAACAACAAATTATGAAGTCGAAGGAATCTAAGACGTGCGTCGTTTACCGAAGTGCTAGGGTGGACCCATAGACCTAGATCCAGTAGGGTTTAAACCTTTATAGGATAGACGTGGCTGCACCAAATCAAAACTTCCCACGTCCTTAACGCGAACCGACTAAGAATCGTATCGATCCTTTGATTTAACCTGGCGCTCTGTCCTTGATAGATCGCTTGTGTGTTGATTGCGTTACGAAAATGCGTTGAAGATGGGAGATCATTCAAATTCTGTTCCTCCGGCGACTGGCTATCCTGCCACCGGCTATCCCCGGCCACCGCCTTACTCTCACTCCAGCGCTGCCGGAACAGCTTATCCTTACGGCGCCCCACCGCCTCGGACAGCCTACTACCAGCAGCCGTACCCCAGTCCACGAGCCACTTTTCTCCGTCGCCTATTCGCCATCCTTGTCGCCACCTTGATAATCGCCGGTACAATTGTCTTTATCATTTGGATCGTTCTCCGCCCCCGCTTGCCCCATTTCCAGGTCGACTCTGTCACTCTTTCCAACTTCAATCTTTCGTCCTCCTCCCTAATCACCGGCAACTGGGACGTGCGATTCACCGTTCGGAACCCTAACCACAAGCTCAGTCTTTACTATGACAATATCGATGCCTTCATCTACTACAAAGGGGAGTCTCTCGCGGAGACCACCTTGCCGCCGTTCGTTCAGGGGAAGAAGAATCAGACAGCGATGAGGGCCACATTCGCTGCCTCCTCGGCTTACGTGGACAAATGGGTTGTCGATGACATTAATGGGGATAAGGCGAAAGGTGCTAGCGTGAGCTTCAACGCGAGGATGTTGGCCAGAATTAGGTACAAATCCGGTCTGTGGGCGAGGCGGCGGTTCTGGAGGATTTATTGTGGAGAATTGCCTGTTTCACTTTCGGCAAATGGCACTGGTGGGACATTGGTTGGAGGAACAAAGGAGTGTAGAGTTGGATTTTGAATGAGTTTAGGTATTTCTCTGCTGCCCAGTTCCTCTTTCCAAATGACAAAATACGGACTTATAGTTCAACAGTGGTAATGGGAGATTGTGAATCATGCCGTGTTTATACATGAGAATTTAGGTTTTATGTTGATGAGTAAGCTTCTGTAAGTTTTTTTATGATAACAGTTTGCTGTTTGGTGCCTGTATTTGTTCATGAACTTTATTATACAAAATGGTTGAGGGAGAACGTGGTTGTTTTGTATAAATTCTACAAGTGGAGGTGTCAGTTGCCAATTTCTATGGTATATTATCTCTGATTTCATCTGCAATTACAGCCGTTTGTGCATCGTTTACAGCTTAGGCAAATGATTACAATCATGGTCTACTATCTAGACCGGGAGGATAGATTAGAACTAGGGATTAATATCTAATCAACTTCTAAACCTTGAATCAACATCATTTAACTTCCATAAGTTAAATCGAGAAAGATTGCCCCTGTACGTCTTTCAAAATGAGATACGCCTGGTGCCTTGGTGAAGAAGTATGAAAATTCCAATAATCTAGTTGGAGCAAGAATTTATTAAATATTATTTAACATAAATAAATGATAAATATTTGGGATCGGACCTATCAAAACATTCTGCTAAGTCATGACTCATAAGTTTTCTTAAATCATTTTTATTACCTGAATTTAATTATGTTCTTTCTGAAAAAAATTGGTCATAATGACAAAAAGCCTAGAATGCAGTCGTATGCTCAGCATTTATCCTTTATCTTCTGCCCAAGAGGTGATGGTCAAAACAGAGGAAGCACAACATTGAGCAAAAGAATGAGCATTTGATGGTCATGGTAGATTGCAATCATGATGATTTGCTGCAGCGGAAACCAAATGGGGAAAGTTCTTGGCATCACATGGGAGGTTAAATGGGGGTCCTGTTTTTTTTTTGTGGGGGGGGGGGGGGGGGGGGGGGGGGGGGCTGCAAAGAGAATTATAACCCTAGAAACGATAAAGGACCTGCAAAGTTTAGGGTAGCAGAGAAGTGCATAAGGAAAGTAATTTAGTGAGTTAATAATGCATTCCTCAGTTAGAGAAAAATGGTGATGGTGGCAAGAAGCTGTTATCATATCTACAGTTGTTGATATTGTTGTTTCTTTCCTTTTCTTCTTGTAATTTGGTGTTTTTACAATAGTTTGTGGATATGAAAGAGTTTCAGCGTAAGAATTGGAATTCTTAATGCTAGGTGTTACTGCTTAACTGTCACTTGGTGGCTTCCCAATTTTTGTGCTTGGAAGCCTTGAAGGAAAGAGCAAGGTACTGGACTGTACTCAAGTTCTATTCATTGTTTGCTTGAGGTGGTGATCATTTGGCATGATTGCACTAAAATTGGGAATGATATTTATATTTTGTTATGGAGCATAAACATTTACATGTTGCATATATTTTCAACATGGGTGATAAGAAATTAAGCACTAATTTTTTGTGTATATAGAGAGCTGGTTGCTATCTTGCATAATTTCGCGAGATTGTCTATAAAAAGGGAACTACTTTAAGTCAAAAAACAATTATGCTTGTACAAGTCCTGTGGTTAGGGATCGAAACAACCAGGTGTGGATTGGAGAACCCTTTTCTCATACCCTTCCTCCTTAAGGGAACCCTCAATCAAATCCCAACCATCCCAACCAGTATCTTTGCTACATGACGTAATCCAACCACTTGGTAAAGTAATTTATCCAGTCTAGATAACATTTAATACAAAAATAATAAATTAAATCAATTAAAATTTCATAATTTTCTAAATAAGGATATGCACTGCTCCCTTTTTGCATTAAGATAAATATTCATGTGTAGAAAACAATATATTTGTTGATATAAAATTTTTCTGAAAATTGTTATTAATAAGAGCACCTACTAAATATGTATGGCATATATCTAATGTGATTAGTTTCTAAACCATCTTTATATTTTACACAGTTAAGTGCATTCACATAAATTTAAGAAGGATAACATTGTAAAATAATAATATTTTGGGAATCATGACTTTGCCTACTGGACATTGTTTGAGGACGTGTAGCATAGTGGACACATGGAATAAAAGAAAACAAGTCATTCAATAAATGTCAGCCATATTTTTAGTGATGTCAAAAGAGTCCTGGTGTCTAGTATGAATGCGGTTCTTTATAAAAATGCTTGTGCTTCTCAGAAATGAGGGATCTATTTTCTTTCCCCTCTTATAGTTTCTCATTCCATGAAATATGGATATGATCATTTCATTTTGAGTGGAATTGGGTTTGCTATCATTATTGCATGGACTAGATATCAAAAGGACTGAATTAAGGAATGCCTGAACATTTGGTGATCTGTGATCTAAGCAAGCATCATATATCAGTTGGCGGGTGCTCAACTAGATAGAACCAAACTCTGCTTGAACTGGTTTGATGAGGAAATAAGTGTTGGACCCTAACTAACAGCTTATGTTTTTAGTCTAGTGGTAAACGATAGGTCTCAACATGGTATCAGAGTGAGGAGGTTGCCGGTTTGATCCCTTAGTCCAATAGGTGTCCACTGAGGGGGCGTGTAGTGGGTGTTCAACTAAACTGAATTAAAGTCTGCCTGGATTACTCTAGTTAAGAAATAAATACTGTGCCCTAACTAACAGCTTTTTGTGTAGTGGTAAGCAATGGGTCTAAACAATAGCAAATGGGAAATGGCAGCACCATGCATAAGAGTCCTGGCTTTGTAGGGCTGAGTGGACTTTGTTTGAAAGGCAACATTTGAGTCTGTAGAGGGGAAATAGGTTTACAATGAGCTCTGTAACAGAGGCTCCTCTATAAAATGTATTGTTGGAATAGTTGAATTTCATATACTTGCATTTGCTACCTCAAACACATTGGCCAGACTTGGACTGACTAACTCAAACGACAGAACGCTACCTCTGTGGAGTGGATGTAAAAGGATATTCTTTGGACATTTAATCTTTTTTTTCATAAACTACAATCTATTTATGATTTCATCCTTACCTATCTGTGACATGGAGTGGGGTAGTTCTCTCTCTTCTTTCCCTTTATTATGACTGTTTATTTACAAGTTTTGGGAGAGGCTGTTATTCTTGGGAGGTTTAGTAGTGAGATTAGAGTATTATTCATCATTGTGGACAGCAGCAGTCACGTACCCTCTTAGGTTAGGTTCCCTAGGTAGGTTATTGGTTTTTTTTATAATTATCAATATGATGCCAGTCACTGTGAATAATATATAGTTTAATTAAATGGAGGCACTTTTTATACATACAAGATGGGCTAACATTGTGTAGGATTCAACAAATTACTGTTCATCTGGGTTAATTTTGAAGGAGTCATTTCAATGATTCTCTTTGGTTGATGGAAACCTTGTTGGGTCTGCCATATTAAATTCTGGCTCTCTCTTGCTTTTATTATTATTATTATTTTTTGGCTCCCTCTTATAAGTGAATTTTTCTTCACTGCTGCTTATCTTTTATGGCCTGAGTTTTATTTTAACAAATAATCTAATTATTCTCTCTTAAAAAAATTTTTCAGGTTGTAAGAGCAGTTGGTTGATGAAATAAACAAGCGGGGTTGAGATTTTATTTTCATTTTAATTTTTATAGTTTGTGTGGGTATTTGATTACTGAGGTGGGTGGATTTTAGGTCAGGTAATACTTCTTTTGTATAATCATGGTTGTTGACTTAATGCTGTTTGAGAAATGAGGTTCACATACATAATTTGTTTATTGAAAGCCTGGAATTATGAATTGGTTTCTGTATATATTATTGGTTGAAATTTTGGTCAGAATTTTTTAACTTAACCATGCTAGAAGATGTGCATTGTGTATGCTTTATTGAGAATGGTTGATGAGAGAGGAGAAAAAAGATGAAAGCTGATGATTCTACACGAAAACATTTTAGCCTGTTTAAATTATACAACGGCATGTTAACATGCATTCATGGATAGAAATAAGAAATGCTATATGTTGTGATTTGCATGTTTTGAAGTAATTTGAAAACATCAGTGGATAGTGAACATTTAAAATTAATATTGTGCATGTTTAAATATTAATCAAATTTATTAAATCTTGAATATTGCATCTTCTATCACTTAGTACCTTTGATTTGCTTGATGATAGGCCAACAAGGATCTTACTTCACTATGCAATTCGCATTCTGGTATTTGTGATTTTGAGGAGAATGATGAAAGAGGAAACTTTTCTAATGAATTATTCTTGAATTTGGGTGGGTTAACTCCTCTTTTTTTTCCTGCAGCACTAACTGCACTGTTAGGCAAAGGTAGGAGTTCTGGTTTCATCATAAGCCATTGGTCCATGTTGATGGCAGATGCTTGGTCCATCAGCTTAATGACATGGCCAAATCTCTGATCGGAATCAATTGTAATTCCCTTACATCTTTTACATTCAACTATTGCCAAGGAGAGCATATTGGTTTTCAAGGAATCTTGGGAGTTCTTTAATGTTAATTGTTGTGGTGATATTTAACGTTTTTCAATTCAAATTCAGATGTAAGATATACAGAAACTCTTATATGAACTGATATGTCTTTCTCACTTTAGGATGACTACGAGGTAATGTATTGGATTAATTCCTTACAGGGCCTTCAGTTTGTTCTCTCAATCTTAATTTGGTCAAATCAAGCCCCTCAATTCACGAAAATGTTACAATCTATCGTTCTGTTTAACGACTTGCATCAATTTATTATGCCAAGATGACGTTTTATTGGTGGTGTATCTTCTCGTGTGGATGACACATCACACCTTCTGCCAAAGCAACTGCTGCTTCATCATCCTTCCCAAACCCTAACCTAACTGACTGGCATCCTATCTTTCACTGCTATCATTGCTGCCGAAGTTTTGGCCATTCAGTGCCTCCATAGTCACTGCCATTAAAGCTGTGGATACCCTGGTTGATTTTGTTACTTGTTGCCACCAACGTTGCACCTCTGAGCAGACCTATTCCCATCCCTTCCCCCTTACAAAACCCCTCTCCGACCAC